AAAATCAACAAACAAGCAGCTGGACATGAGCCAAGGTTCACCTGAATCAATGTGCGCCTCTTTCTCACACACTACCAGTTGACTTTGTTGCTAATTGGCTTTTATGTGTAAATATATGAGGACAGTTTCAGGTAAAGATGAGTAGCAGACATTACAACCAGTAACAGGTTCCTCTCTGTGGACGGTCGTTTTCATTCTGAACTGACTCTTGCTGTTCTGTTTGCTGCTCTTTTTGGAGACCTTCTCTCTGAAAGTCCTGCTAACGGACACAACTGGAAGCCTCATCTGAACCTTCAGGAATACATACAACACCTGTAACAGCAAGGATTCTTCCAGAAAGCATAAAAACTCATGAAATTGTTCATCACCACAACTGTAAGACATGTCCAACCCCTCTGGGCACTAAAACTTGTTTTCAGGTTAACGATAGGCCATGAATTAGCCTTATTCGATATGCGAGCTGGAGGCAGAGATCGTGGAGAAGCTGGATGTTTCAGAAGAAATTTCATCCTGACAGCTACAGCCGACAGTGGTTCTTTGTTATAATGTGAGCAGCAGTGGTGAGTTTGACGTGTCTATGGACCTGCAGGTTGCTCTGTCTGTGTTAGCGATGCATGAGCTGTAAAACAACTGGACCGCTGGCAATTGTTCACAGTTAAGAGATGCTCCAGCTTGCTTTTGGTCCACCTCTCAGGCCACACACTGATAACTTGTGTTCTGCTCATTTAAAAGAGATGCAAATCTGATACCCGGGCCACAGAAAGTAAGTCCAGCTTTGTTTGTTGGAGGATAAAGGAGAACAAACAGCAGGAAGGAGAATCTGTGGGCCCGATGCAGATTTTATGTAAAAGTGGCGATAAGAAAGCCATAAGAAATCCTGTTTAAAGTTTGAAAGGAGCCATGTTGGGGATAGCTAAAATGTGGAACAATGTGTTCAGGTCTCATTGAAGCATGGTGGTGGCAGCAGCATTCTGTGGGGATGCTTTACTTTGTGATGGATAGAGAATCTGGTCAGAGTTGGAGGGAAGGGATGGAGCTAAATGGGACGACCCTGGAAGAAAACCTGTCTGTAAAAGTCTTCTGACTGGAGCCGTCAGCTGATTCTAGCAGAGGTACAGTGAAAGGCAATTTGTGTGTTAGAGTGGCCCAGTCAAAGTCCAGACCTAAATCCAATTGAAAATCTGTTTAAGGACTTGAAGATGAATGCTCTTCATCCAATCTTACTCAGCTTGACATGTCTTCTAACAATTAAAAATGTGGAAGAATGCATGTGCATGCCACACTTTTTAGATTTTTATGTGTGAAAGTTTTGAAAAGTCTTTGGTGGAGTGAGCTAATTTATAGTGGACGGCGCAGGTAAGACTGCAATGACTGTAAAAATTCAGATTTTAGCTGTGAGGAGACGGAGGGATGTTTTCACGAATCTAAGAAACTCAGGAAGGAAGTCCTGGCCGCTCTCCTCCCTCCACATTTACACTTACTGTAACTCGTGACTTAAACTGTTACTATTCTTCATACTTCTCTATTGATGCTGCTTGCCCCCTCACTTTCTTGTAGTTGGCTCGTACACACTTCCACACACTCTTCCTGTTCTCTTGCAGCACATAGCAATTTTAAATGCTGCACCAACTCTGTAGTCTGCTGCAGACACAGGCAGGTTTGCTCTGCTGGTTTTTTACATTGGCTCTGCTGGAGTCATTTATTTCACCGAGATATTCGAGAAGTTGAAGAGTGGTTACGTGTCTGTGCAAGTGTCAGACTACAGCTTCGGTCGGACGATTATTTTGTTTCAGCAAAATAAAGTCATGTTCATGAAAAACACACATGCATTTTACTGCAAGTATAAAGAAGTTAAAACAGGATGTGGTTAAAAGCAGAACTCATGAGTGAGACAGGTACAATATCTAAGAGGGGCTCACAGCTGTCATGCACTTCCTGATGTTTGAAAATACAAATATGTGCAGATAAACTGCTATTGCTTCACAACACCACAACAACCCAACTTGTTTATTAAAGCTACACATCATTTTCACTGGTATCACAATCTATATTTATACGTAACTCTGGCTCCAGAGGAGCTCAGTGTTTGTTTTAGTCAGCAGACTCTGTACCGTTTCTAACTGCGGCTTGGAGCCATAAAATGAAGAAAACCAACCGTGCTGACCCAAAGGCAGGAAAAAACGCAAAAGCAGTAGAATCTGGTCATGAAATGGACACAGTAAAGAATGCTGGGTTATTTTCATAACCCATCTGCTGGGCAGAAGCTGCTGGGTTTTAGGTTGGGTTAGTTTGATCAAATATTGGGTCAAAAATCATAACTCAAGAGTTGGGTCAGAAATTTACTCTGCAGCTTGAATAATTCTGTTGGGTCAGATTGTTTTTAATCCTGTTTTTATATGGTGAAATTTAAAAACCCTTATGTCGGGTTATGAGTTTCAACCGAATTTTGGGTCATTGTAACTTTGTTTAGTGGCCATTACCCAGCGTTGGGTCGGTCCATATTTGACCCAGCACTGGGTTAGAGATTGGGTTGTTTTTAGCCCATCAGTTTTAGCCGCATGATGAGATTACTGGTTGCTATGGAGGTTTGTTTGTGGTGTTATGTCTGTGACATGTTGTGGTATCAGGCATGAATCTCGTCTACTAAATAAAGATGTGATTCACTAAATAAATAGATTTTTACTTTGTCATTTTTAGCTGAACCTGACCTGTCAAATCCAGACAGTTGAGACAATTAGAGTAAACATTTGAGTGTTTAGTCCTGTTTCAAAACAAACCCAGATAATTAGCAGTATCTATATTACAAACTATAAAGACATTAATAATTCTTTAACTTGTTCAATTATTTCATATTCCAACAGTTTTCAGTAGGGGGTTTAAAGTTAAGTGATGGCACAGTACCTCTAATAACTAAGAAACAGATTCTCTTTTTTTGCTACCACTGCTGTTTGGTTTGATGAAAGCATTAGTGAATGCTGTTTATGTTACAAAATGTGACAGCTCTTGTATTTTGTCTACAACTTTCAATCAGTTTCCTACAGAGAACCAAAATGCTGCAGAACATATGATAAAATGAGGCTGAGGCTTCTTCAAAGCTAGCTTGCTGGCTAGCTAGACGGTGTTTTGCTAGCTAAGAGGATTATTCAAAAACTTCCTTTCTAAATCAAATGAAGATTTGTTTGCATCCATGATGTGAAAAAGCTTCTTTCCTCTTACATATTTCATGCTTTTGGCTTTGGTCATACCTAATTATTTCAGATCAACAAATTTTGTCACAAGACAAAGATAATCTGAAAGCTAATTTAATTTTTAAATGATCATTTAACTTAAAATAGAACATTTGGTTTGGAATTATTAAATCATGAAAGGATTGTGATGCGATTTTACCAGCAACACGGAAGCCTGGTAAGTGCTGAAACTGCAGAGTCAAGAAACCACTGAAGTGGAATCTGTTCAACAACAAAATTGGCCTAATATTCTAAAACAGCAAGGAATGTTTCTCCTAAAAGAAAATCAAGAACTGATGGGAGGATACAGCGATGAGTCAGTCTGGCCCAGTTCATGTTTGCCAAAAAACTGTTCAATCATAACGAAGATTTCTGAAAAAAACATTGTGTTGAGTTATGAGAAACGTGTAGATGGTGTCCAAAATTCACAGACTCTTTTGGGTTCATGGGTCATTTAGTTTCTAACATGCAGCCAAAATGGTTTGGATTCCTTTTTCTCAACATTTTGAAAGTGCTTTCACATTTCTCTGATATCTAAATTCATTATGGCATAAGATCTTGTTACAGTCGTACCTGCTGAGGTGTATTTGGATGTTCCTTCTGGCTCTTTCAGTTTTGTGATCTAAAGTTTCTCAGACTCCTGATGGTTATCTTAATCTTTTTTTCCACTGAAATATTTTATCCTGTTCAACTGGCAATAAACCAGCAAAAAACATCCCACCAATAAGTGTGGTGGTAATGTGGCAAAATGCTCCCAGGACGGAAACCCTGATCTTTGCTTTTCAGAATTACTTTGGAAGTTTTAATTCTGAAGATTTTTATTTGGTTCCGTGCAACTTCCTAAACTAAATTCCCTAAATATTTATTCTGGAAAATCTAGTTCTTGCAGGCCTAAAATACCCTGAACAAAATGTGACTTTTTGTTTTTCCTGCAGTGCTGCAGGGTTATTCTTTGTCATCTTTAGTCTATAAATATTGGGGAGTTTTTTCCCCTTCCACTGCACACAAACACCTTCTATCTTTTTCACATTCATTCATGCTAAAATGCAACCATCGATGAATACTATTAGGACTTTTGGAGACAAACCAAGAAGTACTTCATAGTTGTTTGTAGTTTGGAACAAGCCATATAAGTGGTAAACATATGGAAATACTTTGGTCAGATGAGATTACATGCAAAGTCAGCAAAAACTGAACTCATTATGTTGGTGAAACATGACGTTTTTCAGCATCGACAGGGAAGCTGGTTTGCATCCAATCTGACTGAGCTTTACTTGTTTTGCAAATAATCGTCTCACAATGTTTAAAGCTGCATAGAGGAACACCCAAAGAAACTTCAAGCTGTAAAAAAATGTTTTAGTTTTCTTAGACATTACAACTATCCCGTACTTTGAGCATTTCTGGTATGCAAAATAATCTCAATAAAATATATTGACAGAATGTAAAAAGTCAGTTTATCCTTCCTTTTCTGTTCTGTGTGTCTCAGTTTTCACCTAAACAGAGACACAGTGCAGACAGCTGTGCTGTAAACATTCATATCTGTGTTAGGATGGTCAGTTAACTAAGACTGGCTGTTGGGGGAGAACAGACCAGCCAGAATAACCCACACAAAGCAGGCAGAGTCCATGCTACTCACACTGGATCAAAGCAACAGTGACAACTCTCCAGTTTTGAAATAAATTCATCTTTCTTTATTTGTGTTCAATTTAACCTTTATTTTACCAGGAAGTATAATTAGACTCATCTGTTTTTGTTTTCTCTCTCTATTTAAAGTGGCACCGACCCACTCCAGCTCCTCACTGACTGTGTCTGCTGCCCACCGGTACTACTCCTGCCCAGAGGGGGTGACTGCCAAGCTGGTGTGCAACCAGAAAAATACCAACTTACATCCTGATCAGCACGTTGCTGACCGCTGGCTCTTCACACCACACATCGACATGCACTGTAAACGTGGGGAAACCCCACGCGATGTCGCCCACAAAGGCCACAGCTCGCAACTAGGCGTGGAGATGGGCCATTCGAATGAAAACATGTGGGTGATTCTCAGGAATGTGACCCTCGCTGACCAGGGCCGCTACTGCTGCCTAGCCCTGGGCGCTAAGATCGATCACAGCCATCAGTCAGTCGAGAGCCACAGCCACATCGTCCTTCATGTTACACCAAGTAAGCAGAACAAACAGGCTGGACATACAATTTAAAATTACCGAGCGTCTTACAAGTTTTATATCATCCAGACTTTTTATCTGCTTATAGTCTAATGAACTGTTTGATGTATAGTAAAGAAAATTGGCCCAAGCACTCATTCCTGTGAATATGTTATTTTTTTAGAGAGAGATGGGGCGACCAACTGCACGTTCTGGGATCCCACACCTCCGCCAGGTATGAAACCAACTCCGCCAGGTATAAAACCAACTCTGACCTTTAAAAGCAGAATATGACTGGAACGTTTTTCTATTTTGAAATTCTTTCTTTTCCTTCTGCAGCCTCGGTGCCCGTGGCTTTAGCCTTAGCTGCCTGCATTCTGGCTCTGCTGTCGCTGCCTCTTATTCTGGTCCTGGTCTACAAACAGAGAGAGAATTCACGGTCAAACAGACGTACGTACTGCACTGAAATGCACTGCGGTGAAAAATGATTTGCCTTCTTACAGAATTCCTGTCTTTGCTTTCTGGCACCCTTGTTTCAGGGACATATTATTTATTATTAAGGAAAAACATTTTCAAACCTGCCTGCACCAATGTGAAAAAGTATTTTTTACTCCTGGAGGGAACAAAAACCATGAAGCTTCTGGGAATGTCTTCATCATCCCTGTGGAGGAAAAGATTGAATTCAGACACAATGGAAGGTTTATGTTCATAAACAGATTTTTTTAGGGTTATGCCAGAGCATGATGTTTTTTTCTTTTAGCCTACTTCATGTTGTCAGACAGGTTCTATTTATGTGATTTCATAATTCTCCTGTCTGGGAGTAACATGGCCTGAATGTGGTTGGTGGAACTGAAATCATCATTAGAAAAGGTGGGGAGTTGTACTTTCACATTGAGTCAGGTTGGTTTGGATTGCTTCTCTTCCACCTAATAAATAAAAAAATCTGAATTTTAACATGTAACTGTGCCAAAAACGTCAAAGCATAAGACTTCTGTAAGTTGGTCAGCAAATATTCACAGCAGAACACAAACTCAGATACGTGTATATGTTTTAATGCCGGGTTTCCCAGAGTGCCTGGTGTGACACGTTTCCTGTGGATGTGGTGGATTAACTGTAGTACAAACAGTGAGAAGCACATTCAGTCTGCTGTGCTTCAGTTCAGCCACAGAGGCTCATTTCCTGTTTCCTCTCTCCCAGGTGGACAGGAGCTGGTGCGGATGGACAGGTACGTTTTCCCACAGCCAGCTGATCTCAGAGCATCAAAACAAAGTCGCTCCTCAGAACGGCGCTCGCCGTTTCATTCCTTTGGGGTTTTGTAGAGAGTGTGTTCATTTTTGTACTTTAACAACCAATGAAGTGTTTTTCTTTGATTAATCATCGTTTACCACAAGGAAATATGGTGACGTGACTCCAGTAAATATCAACTCTGTTAGGGTTATTTTGGTTCTGTATCTAAGAGTCAAACAGTAATCAGAACAACAATCAAAGGAAATGGAGGTTAATATAAATCCTTTAGAAGGGAATGTATGACTAAATTAAAGCTTAAGTTATATTTGAGTAATTCTAAAATAATGTATTTGCTACATTGATAAACATACTTGAGTACAATGGAAAATAATCTGAAATACAATGTTTGGGTCCATGGAGGAGCAGCATGGATGAAAAGGGGAACTAATTAGTGAAGAGAGGGAATAATTTGGAGTCTCACATAACAGTGGTAGGATTATAAAAGCACGTACATGAAAACGCCACAGTGTTGTCATGACAACACGTATTGTAGAACTGGTCATTTTAACCGAGTGACCAGAATAATGAAGTTTTTACAGAAATTACATTTATGGAGCGTGTTTGGATTGTTTTGTTTCTTCATTTACTATTCACTAATTTACTACAAATGTGACAAACGGGCTTCTGTCCTGAGGAGCAGATGAGTTTTGAAGCAGAGCTGTGACTCACGCTGTGGTTTCATACAAACTTCTCCTTTTTGTGTGTGTTGTGTTTGTAGTGAAGCTCAGGGCCACGAGAATCCGGTGTTTCTGGGCGGATCCCCGCAGACAAAGACCCGGACTGTTTCTCAGATCCTGACCCGGCAGCCCTCTGAGACCAGTCGCCACTTACTGTCGGACCCGGGAACGCCCCTCTCTCCTCCCGCACATGGTGACGTTTTCTTCCCATCCGAAGGTAGGAACAGAAGGAATCTGTGCCTTCGTATTGTGACTGCAGTTGAAAAGAAAAACCGAGTCCGTTTGGAGACAAAAGAAAATGTAAAAGACTTTTGGAGTAATAGTTTGTTGAAACATTTTTTGATTCTGCATCCAGTCTTCTTTGGTGGAAATCCATCAGAATCCCATATCTTGCCTTGGTGATGTTTACCCACTTTGTCCAGCTGAAGTTTTCCAAATCTACTAGATTGTGAGGAAATTTGTGGCCCAACAGTCCAGCTTTGGTTAATCCGACCACAAAACAAGATTTTTAGAGATTCTTTGACCTGTTACAGGCTCTCAGCATGTGGGCAGCCTCCCAGACCCTGATTTATGTGAAACAAACCTTTAGTTCTATAATCCAGTGGATATCTTGTGCCCTTCTCCTGACTGATACTTTTGGAAAGTAAATAATTTGGAAACTGAATAAAAAACAAGCTTTTAAATACCTAAATGATGAAAAGGAGTAAATGTGAGGAAACTCCTGCTGAATTATTTCGAGTTCATTTGTGACTGGAGCCAGTTGTGAACTGAACGAGGCTGAAATGGATCAATAGGAGCTTCAGAACGGTATTAGTTTAGGGTTTGTACATTTATGCATAAATCCTCCCAAACAGATTTTTTTGTTTTTCAGGTGTGTACAGGAAATGTGTACACATCTTTCTTTGATTAGGAAAGAAAGATCGTCTCATTTTATTTGCATTACAAAACACAATCATTTTAAAATTATTGTTGTTCTTATTGCAGGTATTATAATTACACGCACATATGATGCTTCCTCCAAATGTATTTTGTCAATTTTTGCTCATTAATCCTTAATAAATATCGTAAGAGTTTTAACAGGAGAAAAATCGAGCAGCACTCTTTGACAGTCTAAGTTTCCTGCAGAAAAGTTTAAGCTTGCAATGTGAAGCGTAGATCCGGTTTCGGGTCGATTTAAATTCTCGGTTTTCTAGGTCAAGAACTCTGGCTGAGTCATAAATGACTTTCAGAGTTAACCAGCAGACTGCCCTGGAGGATTTAATCTCATCTTTCAGCTCATCTTCCAGACCTGATGCAGTTTACCTTCAGCTCTAAAGCAACCTTTAAGTCTTTGACTGAATCCTTTTTACCATGCTGCGTTTTATTGAAAAAAAAAAAAGAAAAGAAAAACGACGAAAGATTGCTTCAATGATTACATATTCATTTAGGATAAATTATCTTTGGAAAAGGACAAACTTAACCTCCCCACTGTCTTCCCACTGAACTGCAGAGTTCTGCTGGTTCTTGTGTTTCTGTTGGACCTTCAGATTTTTCACTTTGGCCAAACTGAGGCGACTCGAGAACCACAGATCCCAATCAGGCTCCATCAGTTCAGTTCTCACCGTCATGAATGACTGGAAAACTAAATAAAAGAACAGCATCATTTAGTTAATGTTTTAAAAACCAACATTTTGTTCTGCATGATGCAGTTAGGAACTAATTTGTGTGTCTAAAGGCTTTCAGATTCACCTCTTCCTCAAACTATTAACATCGGTGCTTTCACCATCGTGTGAAGGTATTGCAAAAGGTAATGAATCAGAAAGTTTAAATTTCAAAATCTAGAGTCTGATGCAATCCAGTACAACTATGACTCCATCCATATCAGCTGAAATATCCTGTCTTGCAAAAAATGCATGTTCACACTTGAAACATCCTGGCAGATGCTGATAAAGCTGACAGGTTGAACTTGCCTGTTACATCCACCACTAGGAGAGCTGCTTCCCATCAGATGTCATTTTCTGCCCACTCAGTTTTCAGCCAAACATCCTCTTCTGTTGCTTTTTCCTGACCGAACACAGAACATCAGACCTCAGGTACGCCGAAGAGTTTCCATTCCAGCGGTGTGTTTTTTTTAAATCTACGGGCACCTGGGCAGACATTCCTGGCATTCCCAGGTGGATTACTGAACTTCCTTGAAGATAATATCTCAGTAGAAGAAAAATTTGCTCTAAAGCCGTTCCACAGCAATTCAAAAAGAAAGCTGTGGTCGCTCTGCGAACCCTGCAGTTCGCTCTTAATGGTGAAGAGCCAGTTTACAAACAAACAGGCTCTGCATATTTTAACTGATTTGACACTCCAATATCAGTGCTCCTTTTTAAAATGACAAATCACTACAGAAGGTGTTCTGTGGTTTCTGGTACAGAGATGTTAGCAGCAGATCATCAAAGTCTTAGAAAGTTGGGATCCATTCTGGATTAGACTCGTTTGGTCTGCACATCCCATAGCTTCTCATTTGGATGTTGTAATGAGTGAGCGGTGTGAGGTAGAACTGAGTACATTCAGTTTGCTTATGCAGATCCTGAACTACATGAAAGCTTGTAGGTTATTTTGGTTTTTCATAACTTGAAAAATGAAGTATGCTGAATCATGGAGGATTTCCGCTGACATATTTTTCCAGATGTTTTGTGGAACTACGCACTCTGGTTTCTGTGAAGAAACTTCAGCTTTCGTCTTCATCATTTAGTCCTTTTAGTTTAACATGAACTTCCCTGTTATCTCAATGTCGCAACTCTGGGTTCGACTCTTGGTTCTGCTTTCTTCTTCTTGTTTTTTTTTTTTTTTTAGTTACCAGCAAAACACCAGTCATTCTGTGAATTTTACCAGTCTGTCTGCCCACGTTTGAATCGATGTGGTGAAAAAATACGTGAAAAACACAAATGTTGTCATTCGCCATTTAGAGAGTTTTGTCATATTTGTGCAGGAAGTGCAGTGCTGAATCTGCAGACGCCTTCATATGTCATTTCTCATCAGTCAGCAGAAAGTCTCGAAGTGATTTCTCTATCCTCACTGATTTTCACTTGTTTTCCTTTTCAGACGTCATCCCTGAGAATCCAGACCTGGTGCAGATTTAAAGCCCGTTCTTCACCTAAACTGTTGACCTGGAAAGATTCCTGCAGCTCTTCTGTTCTTCCCTTCATTTTAATACCAATACTATCCTCCTGAGCTCTCTCACAGTAACTGCATAAACACGTATTGTTCCTGTCTGGATTTGTCATCTGTTCGTTGTCTGGACTGCAGGAGGGAGGAGTGCTGCGTTTCTGACCCACATACCATTTCCACCTGCAACAACATCTGCAGGCCAACAGGTTGCATCTGATCTTCAGGCCAAACTGACAACAGCTTACAGACCTGGCTCTGCCGTGTCTTTCATTAACCCTGTGAGGAGTGTTGAAAGTGGGAGTCTTGCCATAATCAGGCAGAGAGTGATCTACTCAGCTTTTAGAGAAAATCATTTAAGCAGCAAGTTCTTGTGAGCTCAAATCCCCAGAGTTCAAATGCATTGCCTGAACTCTGTTCTCTGTCATGTGAACTTTCTACTGTCAAACCTCTTATTGTGAATGCAGCAGTTTTCTTTTGCTGGTCATTAGAGAACTGTCAGATAAGCAGTTTCATAAAATCACCTGTCATTATAGAGTTCATGTTCATGTTGTGTACAGGAACCAAACCAACAGACTCTGAAGCTCCTGTCGAAACTTAAAGCAGGACTTCTGGCCATCTATCTGATTTCTGAAAGGACCAAAGCAGCAAGAAGGGTTAAAGTCAGCCCACCACTGTTATGCTTCTCAGCTTCCAAACTAGGAATCAACAGGACTTTTGTAAGGGTTAGCTGGCATTGATGGGCTCTTTTACAAAATACTGTGACATCTTCTGGCTGGGTTTTTGTGTAAGGTAAGATGTTACCAGTCAAACTGAGTCGCCAAGCGAGGTAAAGATGGCACTGAAAAGTTGACAAGATTAACAGGATGTAGCCATCAGCTCTTTCATCAATCAGTTCAACGCCAGAACTTGTGGCTCCAAGGTGGTAAAGGCGGCAGAAGTCATTGTGCCGTTTTGTGCTTCAGAGACGCCAAGCACAGCAGGAATACTCGACGTACCAAAGGGTTAGGGCTCTACAGCTTTATAGTCTTACTTTACAAACAGACAGACTCAGATGCTTGTTTGTCATGTTGGTGTTTGCTAACAGAACCACCAATCAATGCAGCAACGATACTTCAACGGTCGACTTGTGTGAGGTTTATTGGCTTTGTGGCCTGAGGGTTTGATGTAGAGCTTGTAAACATCAGTCTGTGCCACCAGATGAACACAAAATTTAACATAAAACCAGACCGAGCACTTAATTCAGACTGGGGAGGCTCCCAGTGGGGGCGTGTTGGAGCCACTGGTGGGCAGTGGGCAGATGAGTCTGGTCCAGGATGTTCAGGGCAGAACACATTGGTGACCAATGACCTAAGACAAACACTGTGGTCTTATTTTCTATTGAATTTCCAATAGAAAGGCACTGATGTGCATCAGAGGTACCAGCTGGTCCCATATCTCTCCCCAATATCCATTCCCCAGTAAGTAGAAACTTATTGATGGCAGGTTGCAGGAGATACTTGTTGCTTTATGATTGAACTGTTTTGTGAAAGAGGTTTTAGGTTTTTCTATTTATTCTCCAAAACGTGGCATTACATTTCTTTCTGTATGATTTCTTCTCTGCATTTCTTTCTTCCTTTGTGCTACCTCAGACACGTACCGCTTGTTTCTCTGAATACTTTCCTTCCGTCCTGTACTTTTACAACTGCATCATAGCCTTAAACATACTTGTATAATTAAAAATAGATTTCATTTTTTGAGGAAGATTTAATTGTTGTCTCTGTGTATAATTATGGAGAAAAAATATTGTTTTTCTTGAATGTAGCCTCACAGATACTACCGAAACAAAAAAATAAAATCTTCCAGGAGTTGAACTCGCTGCCGTTCAGACTCTTCCTCTGGATTTCACTGTGTTCATGTCCATCAGGGTAAAAGTTCAATCCTACTTTTTTATGTGTGCAATGAGGTCCGATAAGCCAAAACTGTTGAATACTTTGAACAAAAGATTTGAAAAGTCAGTCATAGCAACGCTGAGATGTTACTGCTTCACTTTGCCCACATCTGACTGTGTTAACCTGCTAGTGTTATTTTTAAACTGGAGTAAGACGCATACAGCTGGTGCCAAGCGGAAATCATCTGAAGAAGAAAATGTTTAACAGGTTTATAGGACAGGGTAGCATTTTGTTTTGCTTAGACGTGAGTTTGTGGGTGTATATTTGTGTGTAAAGAAGGGATTAAAGTTTTAAGAATTCATTTCTGGTTTCCCTGAAAAATATTTTTTGTACACTTGATGACTTTTATATTGTATCTGTGTTTTTATACTGTAAAAAGCTTGCATGAGAGGATGTTTCTTGCTTTTAAACAGCCCTCCTGGTTTCCTGTACAATAAAAATGAAACTCTCGAATCATTCTGTGCCGTCTGTGAAATCCTTGTTCCTCTCAAATGACAGATCTACAAAACCATTTCTCTACAAGGACACGCTGCTGTCCAGGGAGTCGTAGCAGATAAAACAAGGCTGTTCCACTTGTGTGCCTCTGAGATGCTGTTCGCCAGAGAGGGGCCGGCACTGAGGACGGAAACCGATGAAAACAATGTTTTTATAAGAGGAGCCAGAGCTAGAAGGTCTTCTCTGCACATTAACAGGAACCTTATTTATCTCACAATTTGTGCCACCCACGTCCTGAAGGGTATAGCAGCAACGTCTCTTATCTTAACAGACGCATCGAAAAAGCTTTTTAAAGAGAAAAGGTAATGTTCACTGTTGTCTTTTAGGAACTATGTCTTGTGGTTTTCCTGTTGACAAAACAACGTGCTTCCTGAGTCGAGCTGCTACCTTGAACTGCCTTTAATTTTCTGGAGTATCTGTGTTTCATATGTGAACTATTTGCTTTATCTTACATGGAGTGTAATGAGTTCCACTGAGTAAACATAGAAATGCAGTTTTGTAGGAATATATATGAAGTAGACAAATGTGGGCAGGAAAATATGAGATTAAAACTTGGTAATAATTTTGTGCTGGAGGAAGAGGAAGTTCTGACTTGCTTTGCATGGAGCATATCTGAACGATTGTAGGTCAAAGCTTAAGATCTTTATCAGGAGAGCAACGAGTAAAAGTAAAAATAATGTGATGTTTAAACAGCCAAGCAATAAATTTTCTCTTGATCAGATATGAAAAACAATTGGAAGGCATCGTGGCATCTGTTATCAGATTTATCAGCATTCATTCAATGCAAAAATGAATAATATATGTAAAAAACAAACAACTACGAAATATTATCATATATTAGTTTGGCCAATTTTCATTGTTGGTACCTGCTGATCAAAAGGAGGCAACATTTTAAAACTGCATCAATTGAAAAACATGAAATACGAAGGAAATGTATGTTTATTTGATGCATTTAAAAATGTATTTTTATGACAAGTGAAAATACAAAACCTACATAACTGCTCTCTGTTTGGTTGTATCTTTCAGTCTCATGTACTGATAATATTGTGAAAATTGGTTATCTGGAGATAATGAAACAAACTAAATACTCATAGTATGAAGGGTCATCTACGATATCTGAAGTGTTTAATTACAGATAAAAACACTTCAGATATTAAGTTTGGCTCAACACTTTCTTCAGATTATGGTTTCAGTTTTGTTAAATCATTATGCAACATTTCAAGGTCAAGATCAGACCTATAAACGTGTTCTTTGTTTGTTCTGGTTGAAATGTGGAAACCTCAGCTAAGTTCAGCTTCATGGAAACGCTGTGCATCCGCGTTGCTGCTGCTTCTCCACAACAAGAATGTCAGTTTTTCCACAATAATCATCAAAGTTTTTCCTAACCTCCATTGAAAACTGGAAAAAAACAAAAAACAACAAAAGAAACACCTGCATTGCAGAGCATGGGGTGAAAAAATAAAAATGATTTTACCTGAAGAGAAGCTTGTGAGCCATGCATACATGAATTCATTCATACATTCATGCAAAGATCAGCATGAAATCAACAATGTGATGATTGATTTTCTGAAAATAAAGTTTGCTGTTTTAAAAAAAACAACTTTTTGCTTCATTGGTTGTTGCTTCATCAGTCAAATGTATCAGGAGTATGAAGGAGACAATGCTGCTCTTTATGAAGTGCAAATAAAGAGAAGATAGGAACAGGAAATGACAACTACAAAATAGAAACTTTCATTTCAACTTCAAAGAAACTTCGATATTTAAAACCTTTAAATGTTTAAAGTAAGAAACATTTAGGTTCAGCGTTCCCGTATCAGAATCCTACCGACAGCGGCGGCATGCCGTCGTCCTCCACAGTGACGTTGAGGCGATACTCCTGCTGTCGCTCTCGGTCCGGAGGGGCCGGCCGGGTCACCATCTCTCCGGTCATGCGGTCCATGCGGAAGGTCAGGTCCTGGTTTCCAGCAGTGATGTAATAAAACAGCATGGCATTCGGACCAATGTCCCTGTCGGTAGCAATCACTCGCATGACTGAGGTGCCTCCTCCCACGTTCTGCAAAACACAAGATGATCAAACTTCACAGCAAACCTGGGCCTGAATCTCCACATCTCAATGTTTTTGTAACAATGATTGAAAGGCAAACTTAAACTGTCTTCCAGGGATAAACCTCGTCCTCACCTCGTTCACGCTGACGTTGTATCCCCGCTGGCTTTCAATGACAGGAGCGTTGTCATTGACGTCCAGGATGTTGACGGTCAGCGAGTGGTCCGTGTATCTGGTCGGTGAACCATTATCAGTGGCACGGACCTGCAAAACAGTGAATATTAAAAATGCAGATCAATAAAGGTTGAAATGTGTCATAACTACCCAGTGCAGCCGCCTGACCTTCAGTAGGTAGCGATCTACAGACTCCCGGTCCAGAGCAGCGTTGACGTAAACCTCTCCATAGCTGCTATTCACCGTTTTGATCTTGAACACATCCTCCATGTTTCCAGCCACCAGGGTGAAATTCACCTGAGAGAAGATCATTGGTGACAAATCAGATCCAATAAAAACATAATCTGAGTTTATTCAATCATAAAGTTGCTCCAAACATACAAAAATACTGCAGTGTGATTGACTGTTGGTGACAAGGGTCCTTCCTATGTTGGGATATTTTCCCTCACATCTGTCCTAAATGCCACACCTGGTTTCTATTCAATATCAGGATATACAAGCCCATCAAAAGGCTGAATTATTATAGTAAATACATTAAAATGGCTTCTTTCTATTGCTTCTGATGGCTTCCATAGTGCTGTTACTGCTTTGTCTACGGTACAGTATGCAAACTCTGTACTCTGTCAGGGCTCCTTTGCATGAATTGCTGCAGTAATGCAGGGTGACATGGAGGGGCGTGGCCTCTGTCTCTGCTGACGTTTCATGGAATCCCAGCTTGTTTTAATGAGAGATGCAGATGTTTTCTGGTGTCACTCATCTTCACCTTCTTCTTCCCAACAGTTTCTCTGTGGGATATGGGTCAGTGCATTTTCATAATAACCAAGCCCAGAAACACCATTGTCCACTGGACCAGCTTCTGGTTCTGCTGGCAGTGTGGGCTGGTGACTCGTCCCGCTGCATCTCCATAAAGCTGAGCAGCAGAGGGAAGCAGGAAGTGCTCTATAATTTCCTGCTAGACGGCTGCGCTGGTGTTGGATTTGATAAAACCCAGCGGACCAGACCAGCAGATGACATGCCTCCCAAAACCATCACTGACTGTAGACCAGACCGGACTACAGTCCGGTCCTGAAGCAACCAGGATTCTGTGCCTCTCCAATATTCCTCCAGACTCTTATACCTTGATTTCAAAATGAAATGCAATGACCTTTAACCTCTGTGTCGGTGCCATCTTCTCCATGATTACAAAAGTGTTCTTTTTCAAATTCAGAAGTGCTGAAGTAAAGCCTCACCAGTCCATTTAAACCAGCATCACTGTCCTTTGCCAGCACCACTGCCACTCTCTTCCCCATGGCCGTGTTTTCTGGGATGCTCACAGACGTATCAGACGTTATGTCAAACACAGGACTGTTGTCATTTTCATCCAGAATGGTGATGGAAACCTGGGAAGCAGCAAAATGATCTGTAGCTTCCATGACAGGCTGAAGTTTGGTACTTACCTTTAAAATGAGTGGAACAAAAACAAACAGGCAGATTTCCATTCTGCTTTTTGCTCTATGAAATACCAGAACCTTACCTTCTGCAGATCCACAGAGGGATGCATTTGATAAAAGAAGAATGTCATTATTCTACAACAGATAAGACACAATACATTTAAAATAACGATGAGGCTGAATGCTAGAAAACTCCAAAGTGAAGCGACGTACCACAGTGGAGTCCTTCTTAGGTCCTCCATTGTCAGCTACCACAGTCAGAGTGTACAGATCTCCCTTTTCTCTGTCCAGCAAGCCTGTTACCGTGATGCGGCCCTGGAACGCCACAAACAAAAGGTCCAGAGTCACAAAACACAGAAAAACGAAGAGCTATCAGGAAAATCCAGACAAAAGGAATGGAAGAACTTCAAAGCATTGAGCTCTTTGATCAGATTTCATTCATGCAGAAACAAGAGTGCAGAAAATGATGATGAGACATTACAGAGGCGGTCTGTTCACACAGCTTAAGGTTCTTAAGTTTTGTTATTTCACAACCACAGACGAAGTATTTCACTGGAGGTTGTCCAAGAAAAAAGAGCAAAGCACAACGGCGAAGTGGAAGAAAAAATAAATCTTGTGGAGATTTTTACAAGTGTGGAATTATTCTGCCAACAGAGACTCAAACCACCTACTGATGTCGTTACAGTCACAAATTTCCACCAGATTTACGTCTAGAGAGATTAGTGAACCTTCAAAATAAAAGTCCAAACATAATTTCATTAGATTATTACCTATGGCTTAATAAACAAGGTGTAGAGGTTGTAAAGTAGCATGAACAACACATCTGAGAAAAATGGAGAGTCGTCCCGTCTGGAGGCTTGGTCAAGTTTCATGCCCCTGGTAGGGCAGACCCACCAGTGGATGTTCGTTACATCAGAACTAATTCAGAAAATGCGTTTCCATTTCACCTTCATCGCATTAACTCTGTGCTGTGTCAGTTTTTCTCCAACAACAGCAGACAGACCAAAAGTTCATTAGGTGACCCTAAGAAAGGGACCGAATATCATTAAAACTACCTATTATTTCTTTCCACTTCACTAATATGCACTATGTAGTGATGGTTGTTCACACAAAATCCCTTTAGAATACAATTTTGTGACTGCAGTGTGAAATTTTTTATATATTTATAATAAAGTGTGTAATAAGAACATGATGTGAGACTTTTCTCTGCTCACCGTGACGCTGTCTATCTTGAAGAGGGCTAAGGCTGCCGGCGACGTGTCGGGGTCAAAGCGGTAAGTCAGCTGGTTCAGGTTGTCGGCAGACTGGGCCTGGACCTGAACCACCTCCGTTCCCGTGGCGATGTTCTCCCGGAGGGAAGCCTCGTAGCCTGCGGAGAAGAAGGCCACGGCCTCGTCCAGCTCGTTCAGTAAGGTGACGTAGACGGTGCAGAAGCCTCGGTGGAACGGCGGCGCCTGGTCGGTGGCCGACACGTTCATGAGGTAGGACGTCTTGGTCTCGTAGTCCAGGTAGTCCACAGTGGTGACCAGACCGGTGCTGACGTCCACTTCAAACTTACGGTCTGAACCGGACACTATGGAGTAGGCAACAGCGCCGCCATCACCTGAACAGCAGGACAGAAACACAGACATTCAGAGTCCAGAATCACATTATTACTAATAGTTTCTTAACAGGGATTTTTGTTTTAAAGTGTTGACTTTAAAATATTGTTGTTAGTTTATAAATCATCAGCACCAGAATCCATTAAAGATCTGCTGTTGTTGCATCAGCCTTCCAGACGTCTCATGTGTTCTGGTTCTGGTCTGCTCTGCATCCAGAACCAGAACCAAACATGGAGAAGCAGCTTTCAGCTTCTATGCTCCACAAATCTGGAACAAACTTCTAGAAAAGGGAAAAACTGCTGTAACACTGACTGACTTTAAATCAAGGCTAAACCCCTCCTGGTTAGAGCTGCCATGATTCATAATAACTGGAACATTGGTCAATATATGATGTTTGCATGATGATTCATGGGATTTGACAAAATAATATGTCTATATATATCTTGTTTCTTAATTGGTTTTTGTTTTATGTTTTTTTTGGTGCCTTGCTGCTGAAATTTGCTACACAAATAAACTCGGCTTGATTTCAAAGTTCTCATAACAGAGTTATATTTAAAACTTCCTCTGACCCGATTTTACATTTACAGAAAAACTTTATTAGGACGTGTTTATTTCGGTTTCATGGCCACTCTGATGTTTTGGAAAATGTTTGTCAGAATCATCAGATGTGCCACTGAGACAATTTAACAGCAAGGGAAGTGAAGAGAGGAAGTACAAACTGTGGAAGTAGTAAGACTTTAAATACCAGTTACAGAAAACTCAACGTTTTTCCAGACACCAGAGACAAACAGGGTAAAAAAAAAAAAGAAGAATTTCTGGTGGAACAGCACCAACTAGTGGCTGGGTCGATATTCTACAAGCCAGCAGAGCGTGCAGCTCTGGCCAGGTGTGGTCAGACTCACCGGTGTCGGGGTCGGTGGCGCGCACGACGATCACAGAGGTTCCGATTCCGGCCGTTTCTCTCAGGCCCAGACGGTTGTACTGCTGCTGGGTGAACACTGGCACCTCATCATTGGCATCATCAACATATATGATCACCTGCAGGAGAACGTATTTACTACTTTACACATTGGGAAAGCCTGCGCTTGATTAGCTGAATTCAGCTTCAACCTCTGAATCAGAATGTGGGAATTCAACTGGATTAATGGAGAGAACACTGAAGCAGAATTTGTTCAAATTTCTGATAATGTTTGTGACACTTTGAGGATGAACCAGTGGCCTGCTGGGTGCAGTTCACACACGTCTCACCCTGACAGAGCTCCGCATGCTGCCTTCATCGCTGTTGAAGGCCTCCACCTCCAACACGTGGGAGCTGCTGGTCTCCCGGTCCAGCGCCCGGACGCCTCTGGTCACCAGGCCGCTCTGCCTGTCTATGCTGAACAGGTTGTTGTTGTTCCCTGCAGCCACAGGCACAAACAGAAAGAGACAAAGAGGAGGGGAGTCTTTAAAATACTCCAGGTTTGAGTCAAATCTCAATTTAACTCAGTTAATTTACATCGATCCATTTCATTTTGAATATTAAACTGAATTTGGTTCTGCTGTATAGAAACGAACTGAACTGACCTGCAGTAACATGATCTCACAATGAAATATTAAGACAATTCCACCTTTACTTCAGAACACAAATTCAGTAAAAAATAATAAAAAAAGAAAGAATTTTTTTTAACAAAACCATCACTAGTACATCTGTGCTACCCATGATTCCCTGCTGCAAACACTCTCTTTGCCATTAGGTGAGCCCTCAGTGTTGTGCTGTAACAATTCATAAGGTTGAAGCAAACAGAGGATCAAACAAGGCACAGACTAAAAATCCTTCTTAAAATGTTTGAAAGCATGCTGAGGGTGACACTGGGTTCACCGACTGGCCTTCTGTTTTTAAAGAAACTCACTTCCTTAAACAAGCAAACGATCCTGGTTTTCCCCTTTCGGTGAAAGAGACCTTAAGATTCTAGAGAACAGCCACCAAGTCAGAAATAAGTTTGAATTTTGTTCTTTGTTGGAAATCATTTTGCAGAACTACTAAACACAACTACACAGTTGATCCAGACTTTTCAAGTCCTGACAGTGAGACATTTAAAATGTGGTTTTAGGCATATTTAGCAGGATCTCAGCATGGAGACTCACCAGTGATGATCCTGTACAGAACTCTGCCATTTTCTCCCTGATCTGCATCTGTAGCTTGAACCTGTGCAGTGAAACGGAACCAGCAGAAATCACACAACAATGCTTTATATTAGGTAACACATCCACATCCACTAACATTAGCATGAAAGTCAGTAATTTGGGATTCCTAAGCCATTCTGATATGAAAGTGAAATGCTACAAAAACTTAATCTCTATTTTTTGCAAGCACTCAAATGACTGATCAATACTCAGACCAAGACAAAGGAATAAAATGAAGATCTAACACAGAGACTTCTAGATGTACAGTTAGCAGCTGTTCTGCTCTTCAAGCAGACTCAAACTGTCAGAAAAAACAAAAATAAAATGTTGAAAAAACATGAGCATAAACTTCTGACCAGCAGAGATATCAATATTACAAATTTGGATTTCTCACAGTCTAAATGTTCACTACAGAAGATAAAACGGTTTGGGTATTTTGGAGTCTTTACAGTCCACATTGTCATTCAGTCCACATCCCCTGGTACCCAGCCTCATGTTGCCACAACGACCACCGTAGCCTGGCAATGATGCCCTCCTTGTCCTCCAGTTAGAGGCAGGCAGCCAGGCTGGCCTCTGCACACACAGCCCAGCTCTGCAGCACACACAGATAAATACTGCAGCATGCTGCGCTGCTGCTGAATGGGCCGTGTCAGAAGATTGGCTTCTGAGTCTACAGAGGTCCACGGCTGCTGGCGCCAAGTGAGACGGACCTGATGACAGATCAGTATCCTCCGGGTGTCACCGACTCTCTGGGTGAGGCTTCAGATTTAGCAGAATGCAGAAACCTGAATGTAAATCTACAGAGGGCTTCACAAAACCATTCAGCCCAACAATACAACACTTTATAGGACGAGTTCCCACAGTGTGTTGGATGGGGAAACCCTCTGAAGACCCACAAATAACACTGCAAGATATGTACAGTAACATCAACTTTTAGAATGTTTTTTCTCACTTTTAGTCACTATTCAATGGTTATTACAAATGGTTTAGCATAAATGTTGCGTCAAACCTTTTGATTTTAGTTGGAAACAAGACCTTTATGGTTTTTTACAGCAGTGTCCTCCATATCTGTGTTATCAAACATCTCAGCGACAAAGCAGCTTGTTCATGGCAAATAACATTTCAATTAATTATTTTAATTAATATTTCATAACAACAATTGAAAACAGCTTAGACTTTATTAATAAAAGTTATAATTAAAAAACATTCCGATTTTTGACTTTCCTCCATCTGTCTCAGACCGCCATAGCACTTCCTGGTGGACCACCAACAGGTCAGCGCCCCCCACTTTGAGAAACACGGCTCTGTATAACCATTATTGTCATCTAGGGTTAAACACCTGCCATGCTGCGTTGTGGTGGGAAGGTTTTAATCTTTTTGTGCCATTTTTGTGGGAAATTTTATTTTGGGCAATCAGAGTAAAGGGGGTTAAACACAAATGCAGGCCACTTTTTTCAGTTTTTTGTTGGTAAAATGACAATAAATAACATTTTCCAATAAAATATATTGATGTTTGTGGTTATAACCTCCCACATTAGGAGCAGTTGATGGAATATGGGTGTTTTCTCAGGTCACTGTATGAACATGTGGAGGTTTGAGCAGAAACAGGCGCTGTGAGTCGTCTGCCTCCGCCTGTGTGTCCTCCTTTGCTCTCTCACTCTGCCTGTGTGTAGAGGGGCCCAACTTCAGTCTCATTAGCTTTATAAAGGGACGTGGAGAGGAGAGGAGAAAGAGGAGTACGGGGAGGAAGAGGAGGAGGATGACGCTGGGGGGTCAGACTGCTGAGTGATGAATAGAGTGTTACACTGCGGAGTGAACCACTTTGGCCCTACAACAGGGGCCACAGAGAGCAAGAACTTGTTGCACATGTCGTTTTAAATGTGATCCTGTGAAGCATGAAAAGAGAAAATATTCACAAAACTTTTGACTTAAATACATTGCCTTCCCTTTAGCTCCTTTCCACTGGAACAGCAGAAAAACATACATTTTAATTTGCTGCACACGTTTTGCCCCCTTTTCTTTGCTGTTCCCCGTTTTCCTCCCCATCGCTTCCCCGCTCCGTTTCTGGGAAAGCAGCACTTTAAGGCAGAAAAACAAGTACTATGTGGATTCACAAAGAACAGGTTCTACCACAGTTACTGGAACCCAGAAAGGTGCTGCGCTAAGGAGACTTCAGACGGAGTGAGTATGTTTTCCACCAGGCATTCATTTTATATTAATGACACTTCTTCCTAAAAAAATTTTTTTTATTATTCGACTTAACAGAACTGAACTTGGAAAGTTGAAACTAGAAAAAAGTTTGTTAAAGCATCCTGCAGCCTGGACTCAGTGTGAACAGACTGAGATGGGAATCAGGCTCAGAGCTGCTGCTGTTTTCTGACATGTGGCTGAGAATGTGGACAGAGCAGAGCACAGAGAGTTGGCTTTACATGAAAAATAATTAGAAATGTTAGAATCCACAGTCACAATCATCCATCCAGTCATTAATACATTCACTTATTGGATCAAGATATAAAAAATACAAATAAATAGAATACAAAAGAGTAAAATGAAGCCAAAAGGAAAAGATTGTAAAAGAAGCAAAGCTTTGTCATTATGAAGAACTTTAGAGATATGCGTTAATATTTCAGACTTTTCCAAACTTAAACTTCTGAAGTCATCAAGTTATTTTTATCTTTAAAGATAAAATAGACATGTTTTAAAATTCCTACAGAGGACAGGATTTAATAAGCCTGCAAAAAGCACAAACTGTGGGTAAGTAAGGAAGGAAGGAAGAAAAGAAGGAAGAAAGGAAGGATGGATGAATGTAATGATGGATGGATGGAACATCAATGACTGGTAGGAAATTTTCTCCAAACATAAATATTTTCCATCCTCTTAGCTTTGTTGCTCTTCCAGACCTGGTAAATACTTTAAATGAAATTCCAGTTTTCCAGCGTTAGCAGTTAGACTTTAATGTTGGTGAACCTGTGCAGAATGAAGGAGGTTGGTCACAGCTGAGCAGTGAGATGTCAGGTGTGGTCCAATGAGAACTACAGGAGCTGCCAAGGTTCAAATCAGCAGCATGAGCCGGCTGCAGTACCTGAAGGTGAGACAGAAATGTGTGTCTCCAGTCGGGTGTGTGTGTGAATGTGTGTGTGGATGCGATGTGCATGGAGGCTCTGACTAATGAACTGACTCTCTAACGAGTCATCCTGCTCCACTGGCCTTTTCACAGTTTTCCTGGCATTTGGTCTTAAAAATAATTTCACGTCCCAATGTGTTTCCCTTAAACCGATAAGCCATGCTTTGTCTCCACTGAATTAAGGATGATGACATTTACAAATGTTACCGTGCTGAAGATGGGGGCGCGCTGAATGAGGGGGGAGGCGGAGGTAGAGTTGGTGGCTGCTTTGCATTTTACAAGGGGCGTTTTAATAAACCCAATTTGTTTTACATTGAAGAAAGCCTGTCAACCATTGACTGTTTTGTAGTCCTTGATTTAATAGCTACATAATTGCTGCAAATGCCGAACACTCGCTGCGTCTACGCGTGCATGCAGTCATTTCTATGCATTATTGTGTGTGTATATATATTGTAAGCCCTTGGGTGTATGATTTTAATATACAAAATAAACCCTAAAATGAACCTCCATTAGCTTCATAAGCTTGACTGGCCAAGTCCGGAGCTGAAATGGCATTTTGATGCAGTGTAATAGCTTTCATATCCGCTTTCCACATTCTGTCTGGTAGCAACCACGAATTTCACTGTGTAACACAAAAACAAACAGTTAAAATCTTACAGAAATATGGCATAAATTTGTTTTTACCCCCTTAAGTCAAAGTTTTGGAGTGTCTCTAACAGAGGCTGAAAAGTTTGTCTGTTCTTCTTTGCAAAACAACTCAACCACGTTTATTCACGTCACAGACTCTCATTTGGATTCAGGGCCAGGCTTTGACTAGGCCTCTCTAAGGCTACATTCATACAGCAGGCAAATAAAACTCAAATCTGTTTTTTCCCTGCAGTCTGATCAGCCCAGTTCTGATCTTTTCACCCCCAAAAACCTGATCGATCATTTCCAGATGTGGAACTAATTCAGATATTTATCTGATTGTTTTCAAAGTGTCTGCAGTCTGAAGGCTCATGTCACATTTGATCCGACTTTTATGTCATTGACTGGAGACGTTTGTCTTAATTCTGCACTAGAAGGAATCAGACGCGTTAATTCAGGACATAATGGCTGAAAATTATAATTATGAACTTATGAAAGAAGTTTGTCAGCGAAGCTCATTGCATCACAATCCCACCACTGTTAGCTTTGACTCCACATCCAAACAGACCATGAAGTCATGCTCCACAAAAAGCCGTTGCTAACAGTGATAAAAAAACAAACAGAAAATAAACTTGCTCATAATTTGTTTTAAAAACATTTTGCCATGACGGTGTTTTTCTCCGTCCAGGGCAGAGACAACATGAACACCACCGACCCAAACTCCAACATCACCTCCACCTCTCCTGGTGGGAACATCACTGCCTCCATCCTGTCAGCCACCACCTCCACCTCTCCCTCCGTCCTGCAGCCTCCGTCTCATCCCTCAGATATGCATGACCCAGAGTTCACCATTATGGTGGTGCTGGGTCTGTCCCTGCTGCTGGCCGGCCTGGCGGCCTTCCTGGCGGTGTACAGGCGCTCGGAGACGACCTCGGAGGGCGACCTGGAGAGGAGCTGCGCCCCGGGGGAGAGACTGACCCGCGGCAGAGGCTTGTCCTCTGAGCCGCAGCTAAAGACCTGGAGGAGACTGGGATCATACCGCCGCTCTTACAACCTGTCCTTCAGGCGACCGCCTTACCGCCTGCCGCACCAGCGCGACAGGACACGTGTGACCCGGCATGTCGCCTCGGAGACGCTGCAGCCCGACCCCAACATGAAGTCCCACATCACTACGCCCTGTCTGCTCAACTACGTCACTGAAATCTGACAGGTTGACCATCACTGACTGATCACTGATTAGATCAAAACAGCTTTTGAAGCTGTTGCTGGAAGTTTCTTTGATGTATTTGTTATAAAATTGTCTAAGACGAGCGACAACAAGGCGCGATGCAGAACACCGGGAAAAAAACTTTATTAGGGACTCAAACAGCCGCTGGGGAAAACTGGATGTTTTCAACACATTTCTGAGCCACACTGACCAAATTCAGTCTGATCCTGATGTAAAATAGTATAAAAATTAAAATAAAATCATCTCAGATGGTTTGGCTGGAATCGATCTGCATCATTTTCCAAAACCAGGAACAGCAACACCTTCTAGAAGACTACAGAGAGAGAGAAATATTAAATTATTACGTGTTTCTATCTACGTAATTAATTAATCTACTGCAGTTATGTTCTATCAGAATAATTCCAATGATGACACATTCATGTTTAGGCCTTCAGAGGACAAACAGGCCCACAGCACCACAGAACCTCCACTGTACATAACAATGGGTAACAAACTGGACTCTGTTTTTATACATGCGGAGTCTTGGTTCTGCAATAAAAGATAAATTCACTTTTAAAGTTTTCTTTACCCGTCTTTACCAGAGGGTATTGGTCATTTTAGAAAGAACTATAAAAACAGAAGTGATTTTAAATTGGCCAAAATACCAGACCTTCATAAATGACTCAGTAAATGTGAAGCAAACTGAGTCTTGAATTTGTTAAAGTGCTGCTGGCGTCCAGGCTCGCCCCACCTGAAGGATGCTGGTTCTGATGGGCACGGTTTCCAGAACGCTGGTCTCGTAGCTGTTTTGGAGGAAGATGGGCCGGTTGTCGTTGACGTCCTGAACCTCCACAAACACGGAGGCCGTCCCCGTCCTTCGGCTGTCTGCTGGACCGTTGTCTGAATGACAGAAACACCAAAAACATTCAGAAAACATTCATTATATATCAGCACAGCCTCAACTGCTGCAGTGTTTAGATTCAGTTTGATCTTTGTTGCTCCATCTAATCAAATAAACCTTGAGAAAGGCACATTCACCGCCTCTACTGCTGCTAATTGCTACTGTTCTCTCTTTCATTCACAGATCCATGCAGAAAATCTCCTAACATTTTTTGCCATTTCCAAACCATTTTAGAATTTTGCATAATGGACTGAATTATGACTGAAACAATGTTGGCCCTTTATTCACTTCTCTCCCTCTGCCTGTAAACCAGAGCAGCTGTAACTCTCTTGTCTTGCTCCATTTCACATCGTCTCTGTTGGATTCTCCGGTGCCTCCAGCAGATAAGCTGCCCTGATTCAATCCTCCTGACAAAACGGAAAACCTCAGAGATGTTTTTCAAACAGGAACAAAAGCTATTGAGCAAGAGTCTGAAATCACCACAAGCAGCATTTTCCCATCATATGTTCAGAAACAAGAAACACAGAAAAGGGAACTTTTATTTGTAAGAGAAAACGCACCGCTGAGAACAACCTGACAAACATTTACAGTTCCATGCAAAAGTGGTCAAGAAATATTATCCAAATGATCAACTCAGACTTTTAAATATTTTAGACCATAAATATGAATTAGAAGAAATGAAAAATGGGTTTGACATCATGCCTCTGGAGGAGCTGCAGATGTCCACAGCTCAGCTCTGAGTCTGTTCCAAATATCCGGGCTTCTGTGTCTGAGCTGCATATGGCCCCGGTGGTGGCAGCATCAGGATGCGGGAATGTCTCCTTTCAGCAGCAGTGATAAAGTCAGTTTGGTTTGGAAAGAGCTAAATAAAGATCAAACTGAATCTCCAACCAGAGCTGCATGGAATGGTTACATCAAAATGACTGTCAGAATGGCCTAGTTAAAGTCTGGACATGGATGGCATTTGTCATCTGATTTTGTGTGGTCCTCCTGCCCAAATTCAGGAATAAATTAGGACAAAACTGAGATTTTCAACTTAACATCTGACTTACAAAAATGTCAGATGAAACTCAAAGTTATAATCTTTTCCAAGTTTTCTGCTTTCCTTCTGTTGCCATGGTAACTAGGACCACATCTCCTCTCTGACATCCTTTAAAGTAAACCTTGGTTCACCCAAATCTATAAGTTGCTGCAATAAAACATTTGACTACAACAAATGTTTTCATATAAAACCTGACCTGCCTTCAGTTTTTATTGATAATAAACAAAATATTAAGCCAGCTGAGATCTAACTCCAAACAGCCTGAAACTGAAAATGCTACGAAGGAAGGTTCTATAAAAGACTGTGTCAGTGGGGCTGAAGCCACAATTTTCAGATTTTCTATTTTCAAATCATCATTTTCTTTCCATTTCAAAACGATGTGATGCTTTCTGTTGGTCTAACCAAAACAGTTGAAGACATGCAGACGTTTGCGAACATTTATTTCAGACAGCAGGATGTAAACTTCTGACCCACCTATCGCCTCGATGACCAGAGTGTAAGCCGCCTGAGTCTCTCTGTCCAGGCCCACCACAGTCCTCACAATGCCGTCTCGGAAACCGACACTGAATTTACCGTCTTGATTCCCTCCTGCAAAAGTAAAACAAAAAACAGAATTCCAGACTAAATACAACAAAAAACCACTGCATTTATTTAGGAGAGATCAACAAACTGCCACAGACATGGATGAATGGAAGTACTGAAGCCTCACGCTACAATGCATTAGTTCATAGAAATGTACAACATGTAACCCACAAACACAAAACATGTAACCGCTGTGACCTCTGACCTGTGATGAAGTAGCTAAGCTCTGCGTTGAGACCAGCGTCTTTGTCAAAGCAGACGAGTCGCGCGACAACGTGGTCTCTGGGAACGCTCTCCAGCAGGGACACATTGTATAGTCTGGGGTTGAAGGTGGGCGTCTCATCATTTACATCCAGAACTGACCAACACACACCAACACACACACAGACAGAGACACACCAGCACACAGATAGATGCACATGAGGACAAGTAAGGCAGCAGAGTACGGCTAAAGTAGTGAAAGTAGCTAACTGGGTTCACTGGAAACGAGTTGAAAGTAAACCGGGTTTTAAATGGCGAAGCCTTGTAAAAATAAAATTCCTTTGTCATTTAAAACCTCCTAACTGTCATGGTGACACTGGTGTCTTTGACATTTAAGCATTTTGGAGGCAACAGTCGAAGCTTAAGAGGGAAAATTAACAGCTGCAGAAAAGCAGGAGTTTTGGTAGTTTGTTAATGCCAAGGTGGAAAGAGATGAATGATCTTAAAGAAGCAACTGTTGCTGCGCAACAATCTGGGAAGAGTAGTAAGAAGCAGCCTCACTATTTCATGACTAATCGTGGTTATTTTTGCTCTTTATTTTGTATTCAGGTCCTTAAGCAATAACACATCATTTTATCTGCAGCTGTAGGCAAATATTTTTAAATATAAAGATAAATTGTCAGAGAATCTTGATATATCCCAGTGAATTATTCAATAGTATAATCTGAAAGGCTTGCATTGCACTCATGTTATTTATGTTGTTTCTGATCTTCTGTCAGATTATAGTCTCTGAGAAAACCTAAGTTACTCTAAAGGAGCTGGTAGTTGTAAATATTTACAAGAAAATCACATTTTCCTGCAGTAGAACCTCAAAAAGTTCTTTAATTTGTCAAAGCAGATACCAAACATCATAAAATCCTCAGCTGGTCAGTCCAGAGTCCTGATTTTATACCCAACAGAAAGCTGAGTATGAAGTGACCAAAACTGAATAAGAACAAAACAGCAAAGGGCTGAAATGACTTTAACTTGTTATGATGTCACTTAAAAATAGGAAGTGCATCTTTCTAAAGATGGGAAATTTCTTTATCACTAGTTAAAACAGCTGAAAGGTCTCCAAGTAGACGGAGCTCTGGAAAATGTACCCAAGTTCAGACAACGCAAAGTTCAGTGAAACTGCAAAAAAAAAAAATAAATAAATAAATCCACACACACAGGCCTCAGTTAGGTTCAAATTCCTGACAATGCAATAAAAAAAATCTAATAATATCATAATGGTTACTAATAAGAGTTGGAAGTAAAAACATAAAAGTTCAGCACCACACGTTTCCATTTTTGCTCCTGAAGGAACCACAAGATGTTTAAAACGATGTTCATTAAAGATGGAACCAAGGTCGACAGATCCAGAGAGAAACTGGATCAAGTTACGCTGCATAAAGAAAAATGATATGATATGAAAGACTGAAAAAGTCATACAGAAAGAATTAAATATCTGATGGGTTGATTTTAGTTTTTCACACAAACTTTCTCTGTTTTTGCTTCATCTAGCATCTGGATTACAGTTGTGTGTTTTTGTACATTTTGAGACTAAACTTTTAAAAGACAAAACAATTCTTATTATGTGAATGAAGCTGTACTGCATTTTCATTTCCCTTCATCTCATCTGTATTTATAAAGCCCACCAGGAGGTGGCAGTGTGTTCTTCAGCAGCTCCCTCACATGCATGAAGCTCACCATCTGCCATAATTAATTAAGTCATCAGAATAAAAACCGTTCAGTCAGCAGGTTTGGAAGTTTCTCAAGCAGAGAGAGCCAATCAAAAGTCACCTGAGACAGTGAGCGTTGAAGTGGAGGTCCGAGGAAACTCCCCAGCGTCGTGTGCGATGATCCTCAGCTGATACTGGTCGATCTGTTCCCGGTCCAGCACCGCCGTGGAGGTGAGAACGCCGGTGGAGGTGTTGAGGTAGAAGTCAAGGCGGGGCATACCCATCTGCAGCACCATCGTAACGCGGCCATTCGCATCCTGATCTGGGTCCACTACCTGCACCTAGAGCAGGGAATGTTCATAGTACTTTAATAAACTTCAGACAGACAAGCTATAAAGATATAAAAACCATCCATATATTTGTGCAATATGCCTTTATACATGAAAACTTCTCTTATTTTTACCCTAAAAAACGAGGTTCCAATGGGAAGTCCCTCTGGCACTTCTGCAACAGACGGCAGGTTGAGGAAGGTCGGGTCGTTATCGTTCAGATCCAGCAGGTTGACAGACACTGTGGTGCTGGCTGATGTATGCAGTGGAGGTGTGCCACCTACAGAGGGCGCCAGAAGGGCACATAAAGACAAAACACACAAACACACACACACACTACAACACAAGAGTGCATGTCCTGGTCCGTAGAGTCCACCGACAGAAAAACCCAGAGAACGAATTACAGCAGTTTGTTTCCAGGTTGCTTTGATAAGTTAGACCAGGTGTCCAAACGTTTTACCACAAGGACCAAAATCATTAAGTTGGAAACCTGTGGGGCCAAAAAACAACATTTTTCTATAGTGAAATTTTTATTTTCTCAATTTTAACTTAAACACAACATATTTTTGTAGAAAAGTGATATGTAGGATCAAAACTGTATTTCACAAATGTTTCATTATAAGGTATACACAATTTCCAATACTCTGATTTTATTTTGTTTTTGAGCTATAAAACATTTCTCAGACTTTGCTCAGCAGCAGGGCTGGGGTAATGGACACTCTTCTAAAGCTTTTGCTGTATTAGCAATGGAGAAGTCTACTTTCAAGTTTACGGTTCTATTTACTGAAATATTAACATAGATACAGAAACCTGGTTAATAAATGAGAAATAATTTTTGATGTACCTGATATTTTTTAATTCAGACTATTTGTCAGTGAAAATGTTACCCTAAAAGGTAGAGTTTACTTGAAAGAAAGATTTGCTCCCCACAAAATGAATTGGAGGACCAGAAATGGCCCCTGGGCTGCAGTTTGGAAACCCCTGAGTTAGGCACATTTATAGAGCAGGAGGTCAACATATGCAAACTGCAAACACACAGAGCTGTAGGGAAAGTACTCACGGTCAACAGCAGACACTACGATTTTCCTCATCAGCTCCGTGTCTCTGGTGCTTTCCCGGTCCAGTGTGACACCGCTGGTCCGGATCTTCCCGTTTCTGCTGTCGATGGTGTAGAAGGGGTTTGCAGGACTTATGCTGTACACCACTGTCCCATTTCCCCCATTATCTGGGTCCACTGCCAACACCTTTAGTGTGGGGAAAGAGCAAAAGGTAGATGAAGCTTTTTGAACAGGAATGATTTATGACAAGAAAATGGAAGGAGAGAAAAAAAGAGGAGATGAGGAAACAAAGCAGAGAACACAGGAATAAGAGAAACTGAAAGAGGACTGATAAAACAACATCTTCACATAAAGACTCACTACCAACCAGACCTTCACATTCTGTCCCGTTTCAGCCATAAACTTCCTGTTGGTCTGTCACTAATACAGTTCAGCAAAGTGCTGAATACTTGTGAGGCAGAAGGAAAATGACTTGAATGGTTTCCAAACTTTTTTAGAAATAAGAATCTGAAGGCTTTAGCTTGTTGCCCACTGAGTCAACACCTTTAAGTCCAGTCACAGTCAGAAGTTCAGTCAGAAGCTGCACCCAGAACGACTGTAGGAAACAACATGAAAACCTCTGAAGAAGACACTGAACACATTTTAAAGAAAAATGGAGTGGCGTCAGATTTTAGCATTTGGAGGATTTCTCTTTAGGCTGAAGACCACGAACTAGTTAATGCTAGACACACTTGTTTCTTTTGGTTGTATTTACCCAGAATGCCATGGGTGATACAACCTTTAGAGACCGCTCCAAAAACTCTTCCTGGTTTTGGAGTGGTCTCCGGTCCGCTTGATGTTCACATAAGAGTTCAAACCGCACCAGAGTTCACTTCAACCAGGCTGAGGTTAGGTCCAAACCAAAAATTACCAACTCTGGTCCTCCTAACCGTTAGAAGGACCAGGGTTCGTAATTATTGGTCTGCTTCAGAGCTCAACTGTGCATTCACACCTCTCCAAACTAACCGAACTTTCCAGGCGAACTAGAGCTGGCTTCCAAACACTTCAGATGTGTCTTCTTCCCAGTTGTACATGATTAAGCTGAGGTACAACGCAGAGTCCCACCAAATGCTTGAATGTCTGTGGTTGTGATATGAAAGTTCATTTCCTAGGCACTGTACCTTCCTGATGCTGTAACTCAGCCAGCTAAAAGAAAAGTGGCTGCAGTTTTTTTCTGACATGCAATTGTGATGGATGATCCGAGAGAGGAGCCTGAAGCCGAGCTAAAACACTGGCTGATTTTTAAAGAGCCAATCAATTATTCAGAGTGCTGACTAAAATTGCTGGAAAATGGTTAATTGGTCATTAGAGGAACAAAGGCTTTTGTGAGCGTTTAATTATTAAGACGACATGTTAGGCTGGCATTTCTGAGACTCATTGATTAGCAAATACACGGACGAGGAATGTGAAAAAAATAGTGGATAAATGTCTGGATGAGCTGCGTTCAAGTAATCAATACCGGTCTGAGCGAGAACATTCAGAGATCGTGAGCAAATTTACATTTGCCCGGCTGATCACAGCTGGTTGTGGTGGGAGAGGCAAGGAGAACGGGTTTAGCAGGAGACGTTGGAGCTGAATGTAAGAGGCTAAAGGCTGATAGTGGGGAGCGGAGAGATTTGAGTGGGTTGATCCTTGGACTGGGCACAGCAGCCAAATTCATCGGCTCACTGGACACCTCCACAAGGAATCAGCAGGTGGCTTCCAGTCGCCATAGAAACACTGGATGGACCCGGGCTACACTGGGGCCAATTACTGAACTGTGAGCCTGGATGGTCAAATTCATTGAAAAGTGTACAGAGGGGCAATAGTGTCTGTCCACTGAGGGCAGACATTCACATAGAGTATGCATTGCATCGCTGGATGCAGCGTGAATGAAGTCAACTGAGGAACAGATCCAACAAAGTGGAAAAAGTAGCAACGTTTTGGCGGAGAGGAGTCCGTCGCCTTCATTTGATTTTCCCCAACTCTTCTTCGTTTCACACTCTGCTCTGCAAGACGGCTCCTCGCCTCCTCTTCTGCCTGGAAGCTGAATAATTTGTTATGCATATAACTACAGGCTACACTTTAATTAGCAATCAGACTCCTTTAATTACACTCAGTGACGCCTCTTTAATTAATGGACAATCAGGACTTAATTACAAACAACACACTGCCAAAGACACCAACAGTTCAGGGAGAGTTTGGGGTAATAGCGGAGTTCAGTCGACCTAAACTGCTCCGGATATTAGTCTATCAGTACGGGAAGCCGACTCCTCCCTCCTTCCTCAGTTACAGTAAAACTTCAGCTGAATAAGAGGAATATATTTTTCTTTTCTAATAAGCAGCCTTAAATATTTGATCTCGCTGCTGTTTTTTTATGTGCAATCCATAATTGAAAAACTTTGAGATGTTATATAGTGGAGTCCGGATGTTCTGGGGCAGTTATGTTAAAGAACTAGGAAGCCCAGATATTCAGCTCTTTTTAAAGAAATGTTTTTATATTGAAGTTTTTCTCCGTTTCTGGAAAAGAAATTGATTTTATTGACCTTAAACAATAAAAATGTACATAGTGCTATACGCTTGAGCTGAAATAACTCCAGTAAGATGCTTTTGTAGCCATCTGCCATCTAGGAATTTTACAGGAAACTACTGTCGTCTTTAGAGGCCTATTTATGGTGGAGTAACTCTGCTATGTTGGATCTGACTGATTCGGTTTGATTGAGCTGTTGCATGTTTGGACGATTATTTCTGGTTCTGGTTCTGGATGCTGTGCAGCTGGAAAGAGTTTTGCTCTTACTTTTCTACATTCAGACAGCTGCTGTAACTGTGACAAGATATTGCCTTTACAGAGACTGAAATTACTTTTCTCCTCAGGGTGTCTGGACTCAGTCTTATAGAAATGGAGAGGAGATGCTTCAGCTGGGGGAAGCTTGAAGCAGAGCTCCCCTTTAATGCTTTTCTAGACCCGTGCCACAGGGACGGGACCAAGAGAAAAACCCAGAACTCAGTAAAAGAACTCTAAGTTCTTTCTTGAGATCCTCCAGAAGGAGCTGGAGTGTTGCTTGGCACAGGAATGTTTGTGATTTTCTTTCCCTGTTGCTTCAATGACCCGATCTCAGGGAGGTGGGAGACATTACAGACAGATGAAGGTTAGGCATATGAATCATTGTTGTCTTTGACTTAACTAATTATAAAATAAGAAGACAAAATAAAATATTTTTTGTTGTTGTTTACCACTGTTGCTATGAACACCTGGGTGGTGCAGTAAGGTTGGGCAGGATGGACTCACAGAGATAACATCAGTGTTGATTGGACTCATCTCCACAACGTTGGCTTCGTACGGCTCGTCTCGCCACGTTGGGGCGTTGTCGTTGATGTCGAGGATGGTGATGTTCACCTAAATCAGGGTGGAAAGGAGACTGTATCATCTTCTTCATATAATATTAATGATGTAATGAAAAATCATGATATCCAACACAAATACAGGACTCTGGTGAAAATCTTGCATCAACTCATTAGAGGCATGAATGTTATATCAGATTTGAGTTTTCCATCATTTATGCTAGCTATTATTCTGACTCAGATGTTTGAAAGTTTGGCAGAGCATTATCATGATTTTTGACCAAAAGGCAAAAATAAGTAAACCAATGAGATACTGAAACAAAAACCAGACTTTGCTAAGACAATTTGTTAATTTAGAAGATGACTGTAAGGTTATTACAGTGGCGATGCCTGTCTTCTGCTGAGGCCCGACTCCTCCATCCACAGCTCTCACTATCAGGATGTACTCTGACTTCTGCTCTCGGTCCAGCAGGGCTGTGGTGGTGATCTCTCCTGAAACAGAAAAAAGCAGCAGAAAACATTCATACTGCCAACATTACAGCAGCTGAACATTTCAGGATAAACCGAGAAGTAATAAAAGGTGCAAACATTCACAGATGAGTGATCAGGGCTTTCACAATGCAGTCCGCCAACAAAGTAAACGACTTGAGTAAAAGCTGATCTAAGCAGACTTAGGCAGCTTGAAAGTCCACAGATTAGTTAGTATGAGGTGACAGTGTGTATTAAAATGCACAAACTAAAATACCTGAGCGTGAATTAAGACGAAACTGAGAGGAGCCTTCCAGGGAGTAGATGAGAGAGGCCTGGCCAAACTCCCGCGAGGCGTCCAAATCAGTTGCATTTACAACCAGCACTGTTGCCCCTTTGTACGATGAATAATGTGGAAGAGAGACACAAATAAAGTTACAACTCATTGTATGAGAAGAGATGTTGTTGAGTCCAGTTAAAAGAGGAAACAATCAGAGAAAGACAAGCTGCAGAGACAGTTTGCAACAAAGCTGGTAGAGCTAATTTCTTCACCGCCCCCCTCCACAGTGACACTGATGGCATGGCAGTGAGTGGGTTTATGGATTAGTGGATTATCAGACTGTTATTTGGCACAGAGCTGATCAATAGCTAGGCTGGTAAGGGGATGAGATGCTTGCCAGAGCCGCAGGGCAAGCCCTAAGCTCCGTCTAGAAGAGCCAGCCTTAGGCCTCCACCTCAGGGCCAAATACTGCTCTAAACCTCAGCGTTCCTTCAAGCCGCTCAAAGAAGTGCTCCACTAAATAGTGTGCGAAACATAAAGCATGGTCAGCGTCTGCTGCAGCTAAAAGAGAGAGAAAGGGGCGGTCAAATATCCCATTTTCTTCTTGCGACTGGAAACTAATCTATTGTCTGGGAAGAAAAGAGGCTTCACATGCATGAGAATGAGCGCAGCAGCTAGCGATTTCCCTTGAGGAGCCAATATTCCGCATTCTGAGAGAGTATTTCCAAACAGTATTGAAACAAAACACAGACGGCACAGGTTAGAGAATACAGACGTATTAAAACATGTCACACCTGAAGCTGCAGAAAAAATATCCAAAAGAAAGACAAAGCTCTTGGTTGAATATGCAAATACACTTAACGGAGTGTTTGAGAGATGTGTTTGTTGTGCAACCCACAAATCTAATTAGAGACATTTGCATTTACTGCATAAATGCAGTGATAAGCCTGTAAGAAACTGAGCTGATTTCAAGTTAACAGGCAGTTTAAAAACAGGTATTCTTTGAACAAAGAGCACATCTAATTGTATTTTCCCAGTTCACCAACTTCTGGATAACACTGATCCACACACGTCTGCATGACTGGTAAAGTTAAGCATCTAAATATTGTTTTACAGCTGAGGTGAATTCATTACTGCCACATGTGAAGCCGAAATTATGAGCTCTACAGAGTAAGGTTCTGCAAGACAACTTTAACTACAACAGTCCTGGAACAGCAAACGGAAAACCACGTCATTTATGGTTCATCTACATTTGATATGACTGCTTAACGTAAAACATACATATCTTTTAATTGATTCTGTCATCAACACAAATTTATTAGAACAGAAAGCTTTATGTTATTGTGTCAGATACATCAGGGTAGAATAGGTATCGCAACCACCCATAAAAAGTTAAAATTTCCTCATAACAGTCAATTGTAATAATTGAAACATCGAGTGTCACTTAATATGCATTGATACGCTTGGAGGAAACCACCTTAGTGCTACCACAAGCTAACATCGTTGGTCTTCCTCATTTCGGCTCATAGTGGTTCAACTAATGAGACCTGCTGTAGTGAGATAATGTTAAACCTATATAAAAAGGTTTGTGGATGTAATTAAAAGATTGCAAAAAAATAAATAAATGAATTAATTAAAGGGTTTCTATACTTTAGCAAACCACTGCTAACTGTGAAAACAAAATCCCCTGTGAACCCTTTACATTTTGAATGGCATTTTCCAGCTAAAAGTGATGAGAGGTAGTTAGCCTTCAATTAGCACGTGGCTAACTGGGAATCATTTTATTCCTTTTTTGCAGGAAAATAGTTAGATACTTCCCAAACTAAAAAAGTAGGAGAATTCATTACTGTCAAGTCCAGAAAAATTGGAACGCTTCAACGTTTGAATGGTTGAAATAGTTTTAGGCTAAAATGCATGAAGGAAACACAACTGGACACCAAACTCACCAGCATTAAGGTTCTCTGGGATTTTGACGATGTAAGACGGTTTGCTGAACTCAGGTGGATTATCATTTTCATCCTGCAGGTGGGAATAAGCATAAACAACAGTTCATTTTGATGCACCAAACAGTGGGAGAAATTATAAAAAAAACATTAAAGATCTAAAAACTAGTTGCCGTTTCCACTGTGACTTGGGATTTAGCTTAACATCTGTGGGATTTAAGTCAATAAAAGTAGGAAAAGGTTTTACAATCAGTGTCTTAGTTGTAAGTCAGGCTCTAAACAAAAAATGTTGAACCAGAAGATGACATTTAAGTATGGTTAATGAGCTCGATGTTATCTCTAGGTAAATATCTCAATTATCCCTATGAACAGCAGACCACAAGGTGAAGATCATCAGGATTAGGGAACCAGGCCTCTGGGTTAAGCCTTGACTGGGCTCAGACTGAAGAAGTAATAGAAAACCCCTTTAATGATGGCAAAGACTCTGAGGAGAGAAACATCAGGTGGCATGTAAGCCAGGTCTAACCATGCTAATTCCCTGCAGCATAATCTGGCTTTTGGAAGACAGAGACATACTTTGCTGGCAGAAAAAACGTTGGAGTTGGTATGTGGGTTGAGCAATACTAATTCTATATAGTTGGAATCATTTAAAGTATGGGTTCTGGAACCAAACTCCTGAAGGAGGTCTGGATTTCCTCCTACGAAATGGCCTGAGGAGAGAGGCCTTGAGTGGGTGATGCCCTCAAACCCCTGGATGAGAACCTTGGTGATGAACTGCGTCCCAGTGAGCAAAGAGGATCAACTCATTGTGGTTTCAACTTTTCAATACATATGAACTTGAAGAGCAGCTCAGTTTACCTGGGCTTCTTGATGTTCACTGGAGGTACCATGTGGGGATGCCTGGTGTTAATTCAGGGGTGTAACTGGGAGGAATGGCCTCCCTAACCAGGACATATCTTGTTACTGAACTTTTGTCTGTAAGGCATGGGGTGTCCATAACCAACACCATGATGCAGCACAAGGTGGTTCATACGTGTTCTTAGAGTCAGGTCACCTTCAGAGAAAGGTCAATAAGCAGTTTTGTAACGTAACATCAGAGAGACAGAAGTCATTTGAATACCTAAAGGCAGTGAGTCGGCTCTGGTAGCAGAGCAGGCTGCAGGACAAACCTGATAGACCCAAACGAGTGAACTGGGATCATCTGGCAGACGACTCTATTGAGGAGATCTTCAATTTCCAAGGAAGGCTGGAGACATGCTTACTGAACGGGTCATGTTTAGGACCTCCATCACAGATGCAACTTCCAGAAATTGTGACATAAAGATCACAATAGAATGATATGGTGGCAAACAAAGATTATGCAGGGTCAGGTCAAAGAATGAGGCCTTAGGTCAAGAATCAGTGGAGAAGTTCAAGTACAGTGTCTTGTTCATGAATGACGGGACGGAGTAGGAGATCCACAGATAGCTGGGCTGCACAGTGGCACACTTGGTTGCACTGCTGCCTTGCAGCAAGAAGGTCCTGGTTAGATTCCTGTGCATGTTCTCCCTGTGCATGTGTGGGTTCTATCTGGGTACTCCGGCTTCCTCCACCGTCCCAAAACATGACTGTCAGGTTAAATAGTCTCTCTAAATTCTCCTTAGATGTGTGTGTGTGTGTGTGTTGGCCAGTTCATTCTAGTGGATCCCAGTGTGTTTAGTGAGAGACATGTACAGTGTGGGGTTCCTTCCTGGACCTGTTACCCTTCTTCTTGGATAAGCAGAAGAGAATAAATAAATGGTTGGATACATAAATTGATGCTTACGGTGGTGATTTTGAAAAGTAATAACTTAGTTTGTAATAAAAATGTAAAGGGAAGAAATGACAGATAAATTCCTTTAACGTGGAACAACAGCTGCCTTAAAACAGCTTCAGTCAGAGCATTTAAACGTCTCACAGCCTCCCACTCATGAATAAGACTCCATTTCATACCAACATTTCCAGTTGTCTGGCTATTCACAGAGAAGATCCCCACTGCGTGAGCTGCTGAGAAATGTTAACACTTTAACAACAGTCACTGGGACAATTATCCATTTGGGCTCCGAGTTACACTGGTGCAGAGGATTGTGTGAGTGTGATGCTGCCAGCTCCTGATAAACCCCTGTGGTGAGAGTCACGACAGAGAGAGACACAGGCAGAGAGACATAGGGGGAACGCTGGATTGTGAACATCTATCCTGACTGGTCTTAGCAGCTTTTCTCCCTCATGCGGGATGCGTATAGGAATTCCTAATGGTCTGTGCATATCAAAGGATATTCATCCATTCTTCTCTGCCGTTTCTCCTTTCATGAATAAAAAGTAAGATGTATAATGGATGTCTTCCATGGGAAATGAGTCTGGGGGCCTGGCGACTGTGGACCTCATCTGCTCATTATGGTTTGATGGCTGCATTTACAGTTTCTAAGCAAAGGTCAATATATGAGTTTTTAATTTAAAAGTCAATAGAAAAAACAAAGGAAAACAAAAGGGTGTTTAGTGCTATTCCTGAGAAATGATCAGAGAGAAAGGAGTGAAACAGAGAGGAAGATGTGTCACTGAAAGCTTACATACACTCATCAGGACTTAAAAAATGTACTGGAACGGCTCTTACCCACAAAACCCACACAAAGTCAAAAATTTAGATTTAAGCTCAGATATTTAAAGTGAAACTGACTGTTCCACCTCCGGGAGGATTCAGGGTGGCTTTTCTTTATCTTTTTCTTAGTTGTGCCACCCTAATTTTTTTACTGACCTAGTCTGCCGACTCGTATGGAAATTTAGTGTTTCGGTTTTCATGGATTCACCTGATAACAGTGTTTATGTGGATCGTAACTCCAAAACATTTGCAGAAAATGTGCCTATTCAAGGACTTTTTCCATAAACAATATGTAAAATATTTCAAAGAAAATGTAGCTTGGGAAGCTGGCACACCTGGACACAACGCTACATGATACGCTTTGGGCTGCGGCGCCACCAAATGGTGCTGATTGGCTGAACCCCTGAAGTAAGACATAAGGAAGACTGTGGGTGTTAGCTTCTAGGGCAGCACCAACACAGTTTCCACTGCTGAGCATTAACACATTTGAAGATATATTTGGTGTTTAAACTAGAAAATAAGCAGTGATAGTCTGAATGGTCTCAAGTTTTTGCAGAATTTAACTATTCCCTGATAGTTGTGGTACCCAAATACCAGGGGTTCGCTGTGCATGTATCCCCCTAATATTTTAAGGCAAATATCAACTGGAAACTTACATTGATGGAATGCAGCTTTATTTAATTCACTGACAAGGTTGTACTTACTATAACCTCCACTGTGACCGGGACGGTGCTGTTAAGCGGCAGATTTCCTCCATCTTTGGCCATCACTGTCAAATAGATCAACCCCTTGGGGACCAGCTCATAGTCGAGAGACCTGGTCACGCTTATGACTGGGGCAGAAAGAGCAGGAATGGAAAAGGTTCAGTTTTGTTTCCGTTGTTAATGAAACTAAGATGTGGGAAACTGAGTACACCCCTGCTGCTTTCAGACAGTTTGAACTATTTTAGGGTGCTCCCAGGAACTGTTTCTCTTTTATTGTACAATTTTAAGAGAAAATCAAAAATGTAGAAATTCTTTGACAAAAAAAAAGTATATTGAGGTTGAAGAGATAAGAATACCTGCATAGCCTTCCACCATGATGATGCTGAAGTACTGAGGGAAAACCGAAGCTGAAATGATGGTGTACGTCAGGAGGTTGTTGGGAGGAGAATCCTCATCAGTGGCCTGTAAGTGGGCAGATGTTAGGGGGGAGTGGTACTTATAACATAATGTCTTAGTTGAAGTTTTAAAAGTAAGACATAAAAAAACAAGCTGTAGCACAGCAGATGTTGCAGTACACAATGCTCATCTTTCAATTTAAATGTCTGAACTATATGAAGTATTTAGGTCTGAGCTGGAGTCTGCAGCCAAGAAGCTGCCAGTCAACGGTGGCATGTTATTGGATGGATTAAAGCTGATTCTGGCTATTAGTGGTGCAGACGTCAGTGTTGGATGAACACCAACTGAGCCACGACAAGCCAAGCAGGCAGAGGAAAGATGGAACCGTTTGTTGAAGGACTAATCCGCAGCAGCTTTCACCGCGATGATGACACCGGCTCATTATTGTTGATTTGGCAGGAACTTTAAAATGAGTCCTCCGGCTGTGAGGAGAGTCTACTGGGCCTCACTGGCATCATTAGAAGCTGGACAGGTTGTCAGAAACACTCATTTGTATCTCTGCATAACAGACATATCTCTATGCTTTCATTTAATGCCAAAATGTTGAGTAAGCAATACCTTTCTTCCCCCACAACTTCTTAAGCAGCGGCTTTCCTTTCCAGGCTGTCCTTCTAAATCAATTTTCAACAAACACTTCCACACTAGACAGTTGTTTCCCACTCAAAGGTAAAACGAGTCGGGGGCAGCAAATCAAAAAGATGAGGGGAAAAGGAATAAGCATAGGGAAAATGAATGAAAGCAGAACCTCTGCAGTAGGAGGCAAAAACCTCTGAGGCAAATACCACAGAGCAGGAAATCCTCTCTTTGCTTTGTCTTCCCAGAGTGGTGTGCTTGTGTGTAAAGCATCTAAGTTCGCTGGCAAACCGCTGACACACACAATTGTGTGTCTGACTTCTGTTTTCCTCTTGGGCGACGTATTAATATCAGCAGCGTTCAGAATAATCAAACACAGCGAGCCAAGCGTTGAGACCAGTTCACACAGTGCGCCGTACAGCCGAGCAAGCCTCAAGGGATGTTTTTCTCTGCTGGGTGCAATCAAAGCAAACGCTGAGCCGTTAGTTACAATTGTGCCTGTGTAGCTCTGCCTTTGTGTGGCATTGACTGATGGCCAACACACTGAAGCTAACTGGTTTTCTTTTTGAAACACAATGCACATTAACACAGCAGTGCAGGTTTTACAGTGAAACTGGGAAAACAGACGGCAGCGACAACAAGAACTGAAAAAGAAGAATCAATCAAAACATGTTGGCATGTTAATATGATGCAGCACTGTACTTATTTTATTTTAAGTTCCATCAACTGATGGGTAGAAGATGGGAAGGAGATTTTCTACAAAGGTCACTTAGCCAAGAGCATCTTTCTGTGCTGATAATAATAATAAACTTTATTTAAAAAGGGACGTTGTACATCTGAAACAATGTTACCATTTCCTGAATTGTTCCAGATT